TTAGCTGGGCCAACCTCCCTTTTGACTGAAAAATATGAGACCTGAAGAAGTAAGAGTGACATTCCCAGGTCTCTGACATTCCTTCCTAAGTAGCAGAGGCCAGACTTAAGCCCAAACTTCTCATTACTGGACTCCATTGCGCTCATGAACTTTTTTCTTGGTAAGTTTGTCTGTGAAAGTTTGCTTTGGCAACTACAGAGGCTGGATGGAGAATAAGAAAGGTCAGTAAGCTCAGACCCCATCCCCTTCATCACCTGTTAGTATCGCCATGTAATGTTGCTGTCTCAGATGAGGTTTGGTGTTTGGGATTATTTCTGGTCTCTCTGAATGGACCCCAGATCCCCCAGTGTGGCTGTCCTACAGCTCAGTCATGTCCTCGGCCAATCATTTGAACTGGGTGGGCTGACAATTCTTCATTCTTCCCCATGTCTTCTTCATCCACTAAAGCTCTAAAGTTGTGCTGGTCTATGGCTAAGTGTCCCACTGTAGAGTAGGGGCTAACTGAGAATCCTGCATCTGCCCTTTACCAGGTCATCTTAGGTGAGTTACTGCCATTCTCTAGGCCTCAACTGCTCCAGCTATAAAACGGGAAAAATGATTTAAGCATTTCCATAGAGTCTTATATCGAGTACATTTTTAAAACTGTATAGAAAGTACTGAGCAGACTAGTTACAATGACTATGATCATTCTGAACCTGAAGGGTGATGAGAGCAAAGAAGCTAACGATTTAAACAGTACGTTCAGAGCCTTAAAATGAATCTCAACTTAGCATTCAGTTCTGGCCTCTTTGGCAGCAAATATAATATTAATTGAAAAATGTTGTGATCGTGATTGACACCGGATTAGGGGTTTTTTTAATGTTTTGATTTTGTTTAGAGAGAGAGGATGGGAGAGGGAGAGAGAGAGAGAAACATCCATGAGAGAGAATCATGGATCGGCTGCCTCCTGCCCGCCCCCTACTGGGCATCGAGCCCGCAACCCGGGCATGTGCCCTGACCGGGAATCGAACCCGGGACCCTTGAGTCCATAGGTCGATGCTCAACCACTGAGCCACGCCGGTCGGGTGACACCGGATTAGGTTTTACTGGTATAGAACACTTGGTGCTGTCTGCTATTAGGATCTTCACATTGTTTTGGACATTGTATGTCTCTTTTTGGTTTTCTTTTAAAATCTTTTTTATTGATTTTTAGAGAGAGAGGAAGGGAGAGGGATAAAGTGATAGAAACATAGATGAGACAGGAACATCATCGATCGGCTGCCTCCTGCATGCTCCACAATGGGGATGGAGCCCGCAACCCAGGCATGTGCCCTGATCGGGAATCGAACCATGATCTCCTGGTTCATAGGTCAACACTCAACCACTCAGCCACACCAGCCAGACTGGACATTGTGTCACTTATGAGATTTTCCATGTGTTGAGTGTGATGTGATCCCCCGGAACTCAGAGAAATTATCCTCTATTGACTGCACAGTAGATTTGATAACTTATTGAATGTGTGTTGATCAAATAACTGAAAATCTATACACAGTTATAGAAGCATGGATTATATGTTGATTCACATGACAGAGTGAGACTGTATGAAGTCTTAGGACTATTGTGTTTTTTCTCTTCTGGGAAGAGGATCTCTTATCTAGCCCAGTAATGAGCTTGTGTGGATTGAGGTGGTCCATTTTGTGGACTAAGGTGTCTCAGTCACCATTTCACTCTCGTGCTTTGATGTTTTCCTGTCTTTCTTTCCCCCTTCTCCACCCAAAACCAAAGATTAATTTAAAGGCAAAACTGACATCACCGTAAGTCAACTTGTCATCATTTTTACTTTCCCTTTCTTTTTCAGTGCAGAAATGAAAAGTAAGTATAAAGCAAAAGAAATCGTAACTTTGATCTCCTGCTTCCCTTTTCCCCTGTGAATATATGTAAGAACACCTACTAATGCATCTGCCGTTTGGAACGTGTACATCAGAGCATTTTAAAACCCTATGCGATAGCTGTCCAGGTAGCATGTGCAGCCTGTCTGCCCATGGCCACGTGGGCAACCAAGAAGTAAGTAGATTGTGTGTGTGCTTGCTGTGTAGGCATAACATCCAAAGATCAGAACGGCATCTTTTCAGAAGTCCCAGCAGGGAGTCTTCATGCTCCTTTCCCATGCCTCTTATTACCTCTCACCTCTTATCCCATAGACTCTCGCTGCCAGGTGGGTGGCCTCAGCCAACACCCCCTCTCTGGCTGCTTTGTCACTCAGCATCTCCATGCCACTCAGAAGCAAGAGTGACACATGTTCTACCCACCTCTCCATCAGAAATTCAAAGCAGCTGCATCTCACAGCAGCTCTGGTACTAAGAGTTAACAAACCTTCCCTGCCGAACTTCAGTAAGTTCTCATTTCCCAAGCCTCCCTCCTATGACTTTGTGGTACAGGGGTTCACAAGGTGTCTGCTTTCTTTGGTCAGTGATCCCCGGGGTCGTAGCAGTAGATCAGCCGAGTTAGCAGATCACTAAATAGTTTAACAACTCCCAACGCAGCAGGGCGCCATGGCCGCCTTAGAGAATGGATGGAAAATATCCCCTTGCTATAATTGGGTTCGGCCCTGTGGCTTAACACCATCTTATTTGGCAATCTTTTTCTCTTGACATATTTAGTAATCACTCTAAGAAAGATTTATTAGACTGTTCATGGGAACAAACAATGCATTAAGTATTACACATATGCATGCTTTTAATACCACTCCTTTTCTAGTCTATTCTCAACCTTTCCCCAAAGTCTTGCTTTTGCCTCATCAAAATTCTCCCTTGTCTTTAAATTCCTCTTGGTTCTTGTCTCCTCCAAAAGAACCTTTTATATTTTGGAATGTTTTTGTAGTTATGAGTTCTTTTAATCAAAATTCACTGGGCCATGCTTAGAGAGGAAAACACACTCTCACAGTTTAAAACCACTGAAGATCTTTTGCTTATCATTAATCTCAAAACAAAAATTTAGCGTATGGTTAGAGTTTTGTGAAAATAGTCTCCTGGGTATCTCTGGGGGCGGGGGGAGAAAAAGGGGGAGAGAGAGAGAGAGAGAGAGAGAGAGAGAGAGAGACAAGGAATGAACTCCAAATATTTCAGCCAAACACAATACAATGAACTGTTTCCTGAACCTGAAAGTTGGCACCCATGAGGAGATGTGGGGGAGGGGCACTGCGAATCAGGATTAATAGCTCATGCTCTGTGCTCACTAAAGGACTTTGACAGCTGGTACCCCTCAGACATTTTCAAAAAGAATAATAAATATCCCACCCACCCTGGCACACGCAGAGCAAAATGTCTTAGCAGATAATCCATCCAGAACAGATTTAAGAGAAAATACATCAGGGTCATGGAGATGCTCAGAAGGTCATGAGTTAATGACACAGCCACCGCATGGCAACCCTGGATGTTATTCCCTTTACATATGAAATGTTCTTCTTCGGTCATCAGATATACAATAATGGCTGTCTCTGCTCTTGGGAGAGCCCCTTCAGTGTTAGGCACCATTCTACATGCACTCATTTACTTAACACTCAACTTCCTGTCTACTGCTGACCTGATTTAGTACACTGGCCACAATCCCCACACAGAAGGCCTTATTTTCTCACCTTAGACAGTAGATTACACATAGTCCTACACATCTGATATTTTAGGGGTGAGGCATTGAAAGCACAAATTCAGGAATTAGTTGCTAGCAAGAGCCTTCATTCGCCTGCTGGTATTGCCAACTTAGAGGTGCAGTGTGAGGGGCCAGGAGCACAGGTTCAGGAGCCAGACTGCATGATACAGCCCAGCTCACTCTCTTACTGTGTCTGTGAACTTGGGCACGTGATCTGGCTTCTCGATGTCTCAGTTTCCTCATATAAAAAATGAGGCTACACTTGTACTTCACAGTTTCTTATATGGATTCAATGAAATAATCTGTGCCCGGCATGTCGTAGGGACTGTTACATGGGTGTATTCCCGTGTGCACTGTGATCGCAGGCATACAGACCTGGGCATGGCAACCATCACTGAGGGTGAGGGGGATAGAACGAATTCCGCTGTGATCCCTGAGCACAACTCCCATGGATCCCAGCCAGACTCTTGCAGTGACAGCTCCCTTCCCATATAATCAGACAAGGAAAGTCAGAGACTATGAGGGCTCTCAAGGTGAACCTCTTCTATGGCACAGAGTGATTGAATTGGATGCAGAAATTGCTTAGCTGCCTGTGAATCAGCAGCAAGGGCTGGGCCTGCGGAGGACCTGTGCACCTGGGACTGCACCTTAGTTCCCTTTTTACTTGACACTTTCAAGAGAGAGACACTGAGCGGTGGACCTATATAAGGTTTTCAGACATTTATAGACCAATCGAGTCACAAACAAAGCACACGACTTGTGGAAATAATGCTGGTACTTTAACCCAGCACTTGTCAAGCTTCCGCTATACCAGAATCTCCTGGAGGGCTTGTGAAAACACAGATTTCTAGGCTCCACCCCAGAGATTCTGATTCACTAGGTCTGAGGTAGGGCTTGAGAGTTTCCGTTTCCAGCAAGTGCCTAGGTTGTGCTGGTCCAGGGACCACGCCATGAGAACCACCTGTCAAATATGTGTTTTGCATCCTTACTACCTATTTTTTAAATATATTTTATTGATTTCAGAGAGGAAGGGAGAGGGAGAGCAATAGAAACATCAATGATAGAGAATTGTTGATTGGCTGCCTCTTGCACAATCGTTGATTGATGCCCCACACTGGGGATCAAGCCTGCAACCAGGGTATGTGCCCTGACCGAGAATTGAACCGTGACCTCCTGGTTCATAGGTTGACGGCGGCTGGGCTCCTTACTACCTATTTCTGATGTAAGGTTATAACATTTAACTTGAACTCTTTAGCATAGAGATGGCATGAATGACTCCCCACCCCCCAACATACAGATATTTGAATCCACAGAGCTAATGTCCTTATTCATGTGTATTTTTGCTAATAAACACTAACTTTCATTTTTTTCCCCATAGTTGCATGCTGCTGTGACCAAGATCCAGGTTCCAAGACCTGGATTCAATTACACGTTTGCCCACATATGTGTCCTGAATAACGATAAGTCTTGCATTATGGATGACATAGTGCATGTGCTGGAAGAGCTAAAGAATGCTCGGGCCACCAACCGGACCAATTTTGCTATCACATACCCGATCACTCACTTAAAGGACGGGAGGGCCGTGTACAATGGGCACCAACTTGGAGGTGTCACCGTGCACAGCAAGGACCGGGTGAAATCCGCAGAGGCCGTCCAGCTCACCTACTACCTGCAGTCAATCAACAGTCTCAACGACATGGTGGCTGAGAGGTGGGAGTCCAGCTTCTGCGACACTGTCCGACTATTCCAGAAATCTAACAGCAAAATCAAAATATACCCTTACACGTCCTCCTCGCTGAGGGAAGACTTCCAGAAGACCAGCCGCGTGTCAGAACGTTACCTGGTCACCAGCCTGATCCTGGTGGTCACCATGGCCATCCTCTGCTGCTCAATGCAGGACTGCGTCCGCAGCAAACCCTGGCTAGGCCTACTCGGCTTGGTGACCATAACCCTGGCCACTCTCACCGCAGCCGGGATCATCAATCTTACTGGTGGGAAATACAATTCCACCTTCCTGGGAGTCCCTTTCGTCATGCTAGGTAATTACTGCCCTTCATTTTTTCTGGTTCCTCCTGCTGGTAATGGTTACTGGTTCCTAAAAGGCAAAGAGCAGCCATCTAACAACTTCGTTTCATTTTCAGTGTCTTCCTTTTGCCTAGAAGCCCTGGGACTAATTGTAAAAAGTCCTGGTGGTCAGCAAGAAGCAACCTTCTCTGGTAAAGGTGCCAGAAGTCCAAAGTCATGGGCTCCAGCCCTGGCTCTCCATTAAGTAGCCATGTGGCATTTGGCAGATATTCATCTTTGTGCCATAGTGTCTTAGGTTGAGCCTCCCTGGAAACAGACTGTGAGACAAAGATTTAGATACAAGTAGTTTATTTGGGAGGTGAGCCCAGGAAGCCCCAGTGTGGGAATGAGAACCTGAGACAGGGTAGGAAGACAATTCAGGGCATGTGAATGAACGGGTTCCTGCTGCGGGCATCTGTGGCTCAATCCCACTGGGGACCTTTGAGAGAGAGACCTCAGAGAACACTCCGCAGAGAGGCCCTCCTTCAGGAGTGAGGAAGCTGGGAGCTGGGCTGTGTCCCCAGAAGCCCTGTGCATGACTCATCAAGGCTCTCCCAGGGTCGTTAACACCCAAGCTCTTCACAGGGAAGACCCAGCACATTCATACAGCTGGAGAAATCCCTCTGGTCACGGGTATTTGCAGTAGGAAGCCTTCCTTGACTTTTAGAATGGTGAACAGGAGGGCACGTGGGTTGAGCACTGACAGTGTCTGCCACCCTCAGTTTCCCCGCCCTCTAGATAGAGTGGATGTGAACATCACACAAAAGGACATAAGTAAACGTACAAGGATTTTAAAAGCAACAAGTGAGACTTAAACAGAAGGAAACTTTTCCTGTCCTTGCTGTGAACTCAGGAGAATGTTTCAAAATGATGGTGTAAGAGCCCTGGCTGGTTTGGCTCAGTAGGTAGAGCATTTGCCTGCAAACTGAAGGGTCCCAGGTTCGATTCCAGCCAAGGGCACATGCCTGGGTTGTGGGCTTGATCCCCAGTAGGGGATGTGCAGGAGGCAGCCGATCAATGATTCTCTCTCATCATTGATGTTTCTATCTCTCTCTCCCTCTCCCTTCCTCTCTGAAATCAATAAAAAAAATTTTTTTTTAAAATGATGGTGTAAGAATCCCACTCTATTCATGGAGGCTGCAGGAATCTCCTGATAAAGATAATGCTCAAAACAAAGGCATAGTGCCTGGCCGCTGTGCCTCAGTGGTCGAGCATCGACTCTCTCCCTGTCTCTTCCTCTCTGAAATCAATAAAAATATATTTTAAAAAACAAAAAACAAATAAAAGACAAAGGCATAGTGGTCATAACATAACATCAGTGACTCTGTCCATCTGGTCTTGAAGATGGCATGCCCAGCAAGCCTGATGGCAGAGTCCTTGTGGGCCAGGATTCAAACGGTTCGCTTTCCCCCTTTTCTCTGGCAGCTTCTCATCAATTCCTTTAGCAAAATTAAAACATTGGGAATCAGATGACAAACGAAGTGGCATTTTTCGTTGACTGAGAAATAAGTATGATGGAGTGGGCTTTTTGCCCTGTTGGGGGTAGCTGAAGAGAAAAGAATTTCCTTGGGAAATCTCAGCCGCGTTATGGTTGGTTAAGTAAAAAGCAGGGCTGGCGGGGCTGCAAGGCCACAGAATGGCCTGCTGGCCTCGCTGCTCCGCGGCTGCAGGAGTTTAGACCTAGGCTAGGAACATCCATTAGTAGCCTCTGTGGGAAAGTGGGGCACTGTGCAGAGACTGAGCAAGCTGTGGCTCTACCAGCTCGGTTTACTTATCGCTGCTGAACACAACAGAGAAGGAGGCTGCTACGCTTCCTCCTGACTCCAATCTGTTAAGAAGGCAGCTTCATTTGTCTCTTTAAAATAACCCCCAGACGATGTGGGTATACGGTGGTCTACAGGGTGGTTTCTTGAAGAGTGAGTAAGGACTGGGTATTTGTAGCTTCCACAGAGGCTTGAGTCAAGATTTAAATTCAGATGTTTTGCTCATGCTTAGTCACAGGCTGGGGTTGTTGTTTTTAGCTTTCATTTTAAAAATAGTGGTTTTTGTTGTGATTATTTTTGTGGGGGCTAGTGGGTGGGGATAAATGGGAATAAGAAAAGGGTGGGGAACTGAAGGGAGACAGTAAGGTTCTTAAGGTGAAGAAAAAGGGCTGGAAAAGGGGCTATTGTCTCTGGTTTTATGAAACTCTAGGTAGTTACCAGTGAGTTCAAAGTATGATACAATATTTAAAACTCCCGACCTTACTACTGAGTCCGGGGCACTGACCTCTTTCCCCTTAGATTGTCAATTAAAAAAATGACAACAGCCAACACACACACACACACACACACACACACACACACAACCTCCCTAAAAACTAATTGCACTCAGTAAAATAAAATTACAATATTTAGTGCTTCTTAATATTAATATTAAAATAGTAATACCCAAAACTTCTTCAAATTAATTTCACTAAAAAATCTATTTCACTAAGCAAATGACATTAAATATTCAAAACTTCATTAAATTAATTTTATTAGGCAAAACAATTATAACACTGACAATTTCTTAAAACTTCCATTTGTACTTTTTAGAGAGATTTTAAATATTGTAAGTAAAGGTCAACACAGAAAGGCATAGACCAGATAGTTCTGAGGCAGAGAAAGATGTAAGAGATGGAAAGATGCTGTTAACAGGGGAGTGTCTTTGAAAAACAAATCCAGAAATAGTAGCGTCACAGCCCTGCAGAGACTGAGTATCACTGAACTTCACGTCCAAGTTCAATTCAGAAAGAGCTGGCATTTGCAATGAAAGAGACCCAGCGCTGCAGGTGCCCAATACTCGCTTGTTTGCAATTTGTGAGGAATGTTACAGGCATTGATTGGATGGCAGTTTTCCCTGCTGACAGTCAGTATGCAACCTTTCTGTACATTTTCAGTCCAAAGAGGTCGCAAATGACTTAGTCACATCATGAGAGGAAGCTATGCATTTTAGTAGCTAAGGCCCATTTGCAATAAATACTTTGCACCATGTAATGGGTGCTTAATATGCTCATAAAGCCAACTGTGCCTGGATTTAGGATGGTTGTTGCCCTTCTGTATTTCTCAGATAAACTCTTCATTCTCCGAGATTGAATAAAATACAAGCAAAAGCACGTATGACAATGTATTCAGGGCCAATGTTAAATTCTGTTTTTTGATGGCCAATCTTTAAATGCCAATAAATATTTCAAATGACCAAGAAGAAATACAGTCCTAAGGGTTTTGCACTGAGTCAAAAACTGTCTGGTTTTTTAAATTGCCTGTCTATGACACAAAATGACTATGCTTAACCTAAACAGATTTCAGCAAAACTTCTTGATTTTTTTGTTACCTCAATACAATATCAAATAAAAATTTAAAAATATATGGCCTCATTTAGAAGGAAAAGAATCTCAGAAAAAATCTCTAATATAGACATTTCCTTAGCTGACAATAGGTCTACAATGTGATAGATTCAAGAAACTAAACATTCTCAGTATAATGCCGGTCACATAAGGCCAGACACAGCCAAATGCCAAAATGGCAGTAGATTTAGAATGGAAAATTTTAAGACCACGTGTGTCAAGCAGTGTTAACCTGACAAAATTCCAGAATAAGAAAGAATTTGGATAAACTCTGAGAGTTCACCATAATGGGATATGACTGTGTGTTTCTAGCCAAGACGGTACGTGACATCTCTGGCAATAAGAATATATCCTACACAGATGAATCATTTTGGCAATGATGTAAGCAGATACATCATGATTTAGAATGTTTTTAATCAGCAGCATGCATATTAGACAATCCCACTTCTGGCAAAACCCCTGTCCATATGACTCAGATCAGTTTATTTAGAGCTGAAATCCTTAAAGGTCTACAGTATTATACATGCTCATTGGCATTTTTTAGTTACTATAATTTGGAGAGGAATTTATTTCATCCATAGCCCTTATGCATAAAGTAATAGCTTATATTTCCAAATTATATTCATATCCGGTATTAAGATATTTGAACTGGCACTTGAAAACATAAGACACTCATCATTTTGACCCATTATGGAATTTCCTTTAAAGGATGAGGATTTACATCACTGTCCTGCAGTTGTGTGTGGTTTAAGAAATTAGCATAGGTTTTGTACATGTAAGCTCTCCTTATGGGCTTAATATTTCCACAGATTTGCTGATCCGACACAAATAAGGAAAGGAAAGGAATGTTCGAGAATATAGAAGGGAATAGGAGGAAGGTTTTCTTCCTTCTTCATCTGGAAGGGTTGTTGCTGCATGTATATACTGACCAACTGAAAGGGGAGAATTGAAGTTGTACAGAAGGTAGTTTGGGTATTAGTTCATCTCATTTAAAATGGTTGCTTTGCATTTACCAAGATACAAGAGTGGTGAAGATCAGATGAGACAAAAATGTTCTTCAAGAAAAATATTTTTCAAGTCATTTCAAATGTTTAGGATTTTGAGAAGGTCAAATGCCAGATCCTCTTCCTTCTGAATAACCCAGCCAGGCCACTCATATTCAAGGATGGGAAAGGAAGAAAGAATGTGATTAAGTGCTAGGAGGAAAATAATAGCAGGGATGTTTGGCTTCTTTCAGATATACATTCTAAGATTATTTGTTCAGCAGAAACTAGAAGATCAAGTTCAGTTCTCCAAGAATTTGTTGTAATTTGGTGCCACCTAGAATATGATGTAGTATATGGAACTCAGTCTTCTAAAGGGGTAAAAGTTCTTATACAAGCAATGTAGTTCTAAATGAGAAATTGCAACTCAGTAATTTTTGCGCTTAAACTTAAGCACACCTGAAAGGTTTTGCTTTCTTGATGAGTATTCTGGTATATTCCTAAAATCATGAGAAACTGGGGGAAGGGCAGGAATCCACCAGATTAAAATAATAAAGCCCAAACCATATGATATTGCCAATATTCAACTATTTTTGACCTATAAAATTGACACCAATATCCAACC